GTCCATAGTCCGTAGTCCATATTTTTATAAGAAGCGTCCTATAGTCAATGTGTACGAGTTCAATAAATCTCCAAGGTCAGCCTATATATTTTTCCTCTTTTTGGTTTGTAGAGAGCAGTTTACTTCAACTTTCATGGAATTACGTCTCCATCTAACAACTCCTAAGTTCACTGTCATATTTTTGAAAGTTAGTTTCTGTTTAGTTTCTGTTTACGTCGAAAGGAAAACACATCAAAGCGGACTCTTTTTCAGTTCCATGGTTGTCATTCTCAATACCGGTTTCAAAAAACGTAATTCAGGTGAGTCTATTTCCAGAGTTGCTCGGTTAGTGGGCATCCATGGAAGAAGAAGTGTTAATTTAACACTCCTAGTCAGTACAGTACACAGTCATAAGTATTACAAACAAGTCCTTCAGACTTTGAACATAAAATTTTTTAGTTTCACAGGGAATTTCGAAACCCAACAAGCTCATTTTAGTGCTTAAAGTGAATTAGTGTAATTCTATAGCCCATTCCAACGAAACAATTTAATGATTAGAGTAGTATTACTCAAATTATCATATATATATATATATGTGTGTGTGTGTGTGTATATATATACATACATATATACATACACTTGATTTAAGTATCTCATCTTTTTTTCCTTTTTGGCTGATAACTTTTCTGATTTTACACACATATTTATCTTTTCGCCTAAAGGCAACTGTTGGGCGCGGTCAATGCTTGAGGCTGATTGGCCAAATAAACTTACAAATATGAACTTCTTGCTGCGTTAGTCGTAATTGGCGCATACGATGTTTTGGAATTACCGGCGTGGTTGGAGCATCGAAAAATATTTTTTTCAGGGCATTGAATTTCGTTCTTTTTAATCCGTTTTGCTAATCTAAAAAAATCCTTCCCCAATTTTTTTCACATCTAAATAATCATTGCCCCTAATTGGTCTTTGGCCTTTGGTCTCTCTACCCTATCACAAACAGCTATTTTAAAGTTACTTTGACAAGTCGGGGCTATGTAGATCGCAAAAAAAAAAAAATCACTTGAAATATTGCGTATACTGTAAGTTGAAAAAGAATTATCCTTAAAAAAAATTTCCACTCGCGTGCTCTCCTCTTAAAATTGAAATCGTTTAAAGCCTTTCTAAGAGTTTATCTACGATTAACTGTAGTGTTGATGGACAGGTTTACAATAAAAAAAACATGTTTCTCTCTAAAGAAAACCTCTTGTGAATTTTGTAATTACCATAACTTCGTGGTAAATCAGTATTCTCGTCAGAAGTCTTACGTCTAATGAGATTGTAAGGTTTCAACAACATGAAGAGATTTCTTCAAAGTCTCGATGCGCCTTAGGTCAGGTGTCAGTTATCGAATAACATTTCTATTTATCGGCACCACGAGACCAAGCTAATAACGTTCAAATAACACACTGGGCTCAAGAAGCAATATCACAGCTAGTCTAATGCGACATCATGTTAATTCGACTTAATGCAATTGATACAGTAATTCTCGTAGCTGTGCTTAATCCTTGTATATTCGGTATCTCCCGTGGTGATAAGTTGTGTCACGCCATGATTGAAACTGATCTTTCACCGACTAATGTTTTGCTAAGAGTGAGGCCATTAGCAGATTTAGAGATTAAAAGGGGTCACAACAGAAATAGATCACAGTTGCTATAAATGACCACTAATATTTCAAGACTCATTAGACGTCGTTTATATGATAATCGATGACAAAATTCCTCATGTTAAAGGAAGAATACCTTCAGGCGTTTGGTGGCCTAATACGTCGATAAATTTTCCCTCAAATGTCAAGTTTCATAAAGTTAAGCCTTTGGCAAATGATTTCCTGGTTTGAAGAGCGGTTGTAAACGGACCACTCTAGAACTGTCAAAGAAGCAGAACACGATTTGATGTTTGTTTCCAGAGCAAGAAAACGAACTGAGCTGATTTACCACCATTGAGTCCCTGTTTTGTCTTCTTCAAATAAGAGACGATTTTTCTATAGGAGACTTCCGGAAACAGAATTCTGATATATAAGCAAACCGTAAAGTCTTTATACTTGAAAGTGACGCTCCCTAACTAGCGGTTCGACCACACTTCATTATTTTGCAAATCAAACTATGGATAAAACAAGGGCTGGTAAACCGACCTTCTTTTCAATTTATCATATTTTTAATAAGTCACAAAATGAAACAAAACACAACAAAGCTTGCAAAAGGCTCTTCGAAGAATCATAGCCAAGAGTACTCGCCGCAAAGTATACAATTCCTATATGGGCGTCGATGAAAGAACGCTTGCTAACTGTGCTTTATACTCATGAACTTTAGCCGTAGATTTGTATCAAGCATTTTGGTTGCGTACTAATTGCGCTTCTGTTTTCATATATGAGCATATCTCTATGATAAGGAAATGGTCACTAGTTATTCATTGGTGTTTTTTTTTCCATTAACATATATGTTTAAGTAATTCGTGAAAAGGGGCTATACTTATGGGTAAGAGGTTACACTAATACTGTGAAAATTTTCAGAAAGACAGATGTTTTGAAACTAAATTTCTTCCCTGTTCAAATGCCGGTTAAAAGAAATATGTTTTTCTCGTGTGGATCTTGTGATCGATCATATTTCGGCCGTACATAAATCAAGGTCGGCCAACATCTTGTGAGCTTCTACCAAAAGCTAATAGCCGTGAGAAAAATCACAGAGAACAATTTGTTCTCTTGACCTTCACTGGTAAAAATGCGTGACGTGAAATCGAATAGTTATGATGCAAGCTTCAAAAGAGCCAGTTTCACAGGGTGCTAAAACTGGAACATGCTACTAAACGTATCATAATATATGGATTAGTCAACTGCAGTTTGCAAACCGAATATATTGTGCTAAGAGAGGAAACGACCCCAGACATTCAACATCAATTCTTCCTTGCCCTTTGACCACTGGGCGTATACCTAGATGTTTAGTATACCTGTTGTTTTCATAGGAAAGTTGAATGTAGCTCGCTCGCGTTCACCAGTACTGATACTGAATAAAGAAGGCTGTTCAAAACGAATGTCAAAAGGAAGTAAAGGCCTCCAAATTTTTGCGAAGAATCTCATTGATTCTGTGCTCTTCTGACTGCTTTTGTATTATACTAAACTGAATATTTAAATGGGACAGTTTGGTTTAAAAAACTTTTCTCCGAGTTAAAGTCTTCAAGCAAAGTGACCATACAGAGATTAGTAACCGTTGGAAACCGTTTATGTATTTGCTTTAAATAATCTTTTCTACCGATACAAAATTGTAACATCCATCGAGCAAGTTTGGTAGACTAGTGTGAACAGCCCAAATTATATACTTTTCTTTATAGATATCTATTGGTAAAAAAAAAAAAAAAAAAAAAAAAAAAGAAATACAGAACTCTAGGTTGATAACTTCAGGGAGAAAATATTTAATACATTAATCATTAATTAATAAGAATTAGAGATTTGTCAACAAATGTAAAATCCTTTTCCAAAGAAGCAGTCGTCCGACAAGAACGCTATTCATTTCCTTAAGTATTAACCACATCTACGATGGTCCCCTCTCATCGACATAAATTTCCTTGCACCTTTTCTATTCGAATGCTTGCGTGCAGTTTGTACGGCAACCAATTTTTCCAAGAAAACGCGTGAACATCATAGGACATACCTAACAACTTTCCCACATGTACTCATGTGATGTTAAGGGAGTTTTTGTTTTCATTTATTTACCACGGTCTATCAATAAAAATTCGAGGAATGCATCTTATGTCCCATGAAATATTATTTTTATAAATATTTGTTTTTCTCGCACGTGTTTATTGCTTTTTTGCTTACAAAACTTGTTCACCAGACCAAGTCCAGAACCCAGAGTAAATCATGATGGCCATTATGGACACTTTTATCAACTAAAATTGGCAAAACCAAAAGAAAGAAAGGTACACTTTTGATTGATGACAAGAAATTGTTTATTAAATGGATGTTTAATTGCTTTTCCATCAGTTAATAACCAGACAGTCTAACAGTCAATGGGTCAACTGTCATACCGATGAACGTTGACCTGGTTGCACGTGAAAATTGTAATACGATGTTTACATATTTCGTTTGGTTTTCTTTTGAACTCGGGAAGCAAGTTAATCGGCAGTTTAGAGGTCTACAGGATGATACAAGCTCTTGCTTATATGATTTTACCTCCCGAAATTCCTTTTTGCCTCATACTGTGGAAAACGAGCACTTAGCTCCCCAAAGTGACTTAATATGAGAGCGTGACTATCCTGGAACGTGAACAAGCTCCTCAATTCATAAATTGACAAAGTGAAATTACAGAAAAACTGACTGTTTCCAGAGATCATTATGCTTTGTTCTTATAATTTTTGCCTGATTATATTTAATTTACCTCACATTTCGTGGCTTCCTCGGTAAAAAGAACGAAGAGCACTCGAAGAATTAACTAGAAATGTGAAAAAATTCATAATAACAGTGTCATGGGATTAAGCGTCACGTCTGTAATATAAACGCGTCATTGCAAAAATATAAACATATAGATTATGATAAACTTTATGACCCCTCCCCTTCAAATTGTAACAAAACTGTCGATAAGTGTCAAAAAATAGATACATTGGTTTGAAATACATTGCAACTTAAAAAAAAAGTTGGTTTTGAGGTTTTTGACTTCCTAGTTTGGGTAAATTTACCAAAGTGAAGAACGAAACAAGCTGAACTTTTGGCCGGTAATGTTCAAAAAAAAAAAAAAAAAAAAAAAAAAAAAAAAAAAAAAAAAGGCTGCCTTTGAACCTTGTTGTTTTCCTTTTATATGCGTAAATATAGCGAGTGCTGCTGCTCATTGATGATAAAAAATGGTCTAAATCCGCGTGACACCTAAAGTACAGAGGATTTCCAAAGAGCACAAGAGAGTAGCGTGACGGAAATCCTCTTGTTGTGAATCCTTAATCGAAAAAGTGATGGTAAACAGTGGCACGGTTTCCCATTCGCTTTTGTATAAACGACTGTCCATCAAGGTCCAATCGATTGTCATATGGGAATTAAGTAAATGTAATAAGGACAGAACTTAATTCAACGCGATTCTCCTGCAGCAACGAACCTCAAAGGGATGGGTAAGCTATGACTACAACTTTGATTTGGAATTAGACGGGAAGGCAACGAAAATTATTACTAGAAAAAGTACTTAAAAAAGAATCGCTAGGTTCCGTAAAACATTTTCGTCAACATCTTAAAACGGAAGCTTTTGAAAATCATTTTATCGCTTGTAATCCACTCGGTATCAACTCTCGCCCGCGCAATCTCGATAAGCTTTAATTAATTCCTTCAGTACTCCCGTAACGACGAAAAACAGTTACGAAAGTCAAATAAAATAATATAAATGTACGTTTTCTTCTCTCTACTCGTCTAGAAATGACCTACAATGTCCTGCTCGGTGCCATGATTATAACAGTATTAGGTTCAGTTGCTTCTACGACACACTTGAGTAGTACAAATGTGATGGTTAAAGCTATCCTGCAGCCAACCCAAATCAACGCTACTAAACAGGTGAGAAACGAAATACATAGATAAAGAGAAAAGGAAAAAAAAAGACTGAGGAAAATAATAATGGAATAATTCTGTGATTAAGTTGAGTTGCCTAATCTTTGAAAACTGACATTCTTTCTCCTCCAAATATTTCTTAGATGTTAAACCTCTACCCTTGGATAAGAAACAACTGGGATCTTAAAGAACCGGAATTATATCTAGTAGAAGAAATCACACAGTTATGCTCTGGCAATAAGGTGAGTATCGGTGGTTCTCCAACACAGGTCGTCAAGGGAAATAAAAAGAATTTTAACATGCTGTGTAATTCGCGCTTTTTGATTGGTCGGATCAAATTTGAAGTATGTGCATTTAGAGGCGTGCGTGCTTCGTCTTGCTTTAATGCACTTGGCTTATCGTCGCTTACGTCTGCAGCCCAAGCGCGCGCAAATCATGAGACAGGTTTTGCAATCTTTTACCATCTTTATGGAGTCTGTGATCTTCCTGACAGTACAATTTACGTCATAAACTGTTCAAAATTCAACAGAAACCACGAGCGAAGCGGGTGGTTTTCTCGCAAAAGCTTAAAAATTGTTTGGAGAATAGTTTTATAACGTTGATAATGAGCTTTGACTGAAGCTCCTACATTCACAGACCAAACAAAAGCAACTTTAACACTGTCAAAGTAAGTGATAATATACGATAATGAAAATACTCGTGTTTGAATTTAAATCAATTGCCTCTCATTCAGAGGATGCAATTAGGCCGACTAAAAAGTCCAAAAACGACTTTTGAGGGAAAGGAAATGGACGGAAAAAAAATCACAATTCACTCTTAGAGGTGTCCAAAGTACAACTGACAACCACGTTTCCGTGTCGCGTGATGTGAAGTTCAAACTCAATAGTATTTTTATTGGCATCACTCACAAGGAGAGCGCCAAAATCTTCACCCTTAACGATAAATTTTTTGAGCACGTGAATACTCCAAAGGCTTATATTCAACTGAATTCACGCCAAATCGAGTTGTGTACGTAAGTGTTAAGCTTGTGGATTTTAGGTCATATACGTCTGTAGTTTTTTATATTTAGTATAAACATCGTAAGTAAAAACTAGTAGACATGAGGATTTTCTTAACGCGTGCATTGCTTGAAGAGAAGCATTCACGTAACTTCAAAATCTTGCGGAAAGATCTCATGCCTTTTACCTTATATAATGATCAGTAAAAATGTTGGTAACTCCTTAATAAGTATAAAACATTAAAAAATATCATTGGCATACTTTTTGGCACTGTAGACAAGAGAAGACAACCTCTCTATAGCGTACGTAAAGTTGTCCGTCTTCGTCCTCCCACTCACGATGGCATACACGCATGAAGAAACAAAAGGAAATCAGCACTATGGGTTAGCAAAGGTCCTCAAGAATACAAGCTGGTGGCTAAACAATACCTACATGGCCATATATCATAACGTAAGAATACGATGAACTTAATAATTGTAGAGTTCCGTTCATATCCCAATATTCATTGATTATCGTTGGTGACATGATTGTTTTGTTTTGTTTTTCTTTACTTTAGGTTTCGGGATTGCCTTTGCCCCCTCCTAATCAAAAGACAGAGGCAGAACTGGACGAATATACTAGAGTATTTCTACAAGCCCTCGTCAATGATAAACGTGTGGTATGTGGTGTATCTTCTTAAAAAACTAAATCTTCTTGCAAAACTTAATGTATATGCCTTATACACTCGGAACCGTGAACACTTATATAAATTCAAAGACTCCATGTCATTGTAAGATTAGGGACTTTGAGGAAAACACGATGGTGATGGCAACCGAAACGTGGCGAAACAAAGGTTCTGTCCGTAGAACAATAGCTCTACACGTGCGTTTTCAAACTTTGTACATTTCCTGGCCATCCGAAGCAAAACAAGGTGGATTCATGAAAATTTTTGCGTTGTCTGAGAACGAGAACCTAGCCTCCGAAATTATTCACGTTTCTTTTCGAAATTAACCCCCCATTCAGGGGAGAAGGTGGTCGAAATACGCGCGAAATGCCTAAAAGATAGAAAGTTTATTTGTTCGGTATTGTTAAGCGTCCGTCGTGACATCTTAAACTCCCTACTGGGCTCTGCCGTATTACCGTGGGAACCCTGTAGAACTTGTCAGAAAGTTTTGATTGAGTGCAGGTTTGTTGACTGAGATTATTTTGTGAGCTATAATAATACCATAGTTCGCTCTTAACATAAACAAATTTCACGTAGATCGCGTCAACAGTCAACCAGTAAAAAGCTAGGGTTAATTTTTGGTTAGAGGAATGGTAGGTGTGCAGTTGCTCAGATACTCGCATTGATCCAGAAACTCTATTTAGATCTTGTTTAAAACCATCAAATATCATGTTGAACGGCATGTTTGGAACATCAACATGAAATTTTACGCAAGTCACAACATGAAATTTGGAGTGGATTTTGTCCAATAAGTTAAATCTTTTAAAAATCGTTTGGAGTGTCAAATGAAATCATAAGGCGATCTTGTAAATGCCATCTCACTTAGATCGATTTGCTTAGAATATCAAAACAAAATCTTTGGAAATATCGTTTAATGAAAAGAAAACTTGTGTAAAAAATTTTAAGAAACGCCAATTTCGAGTGGACCTTGTTCAGCAAAATTGAATCTGTTATAAACCGAATCAAATCAAACGTAGATCTTGTTTATATGGATGAAATCCTACGCAAAACTTGCTTGGTAAAATGAAATCTGAATACAATTTTTTTCTTTCCCTCTGGTTTGCAACGAAGAAATCTAAAAGCCCTCTTCCATATTTATTTTTATCACCAGAGCCTGACGATTACTGATGACGTGGTTAAGACGTATCGAAACTATGCTATCCTTTACACATTAAAAGATGTCATCCGTGAAGTTCTGTCTTGTTTCCAATTCATTTAATAGAGAAGTATGCTCCAGAAACCATATAATTTTTGACTCTGATATTTCAATGTATTCACTGAATTGCATTTCAAAAAGTAACAAAGGACACTACCATTTTGAACCCAGCCAGAGAATCTGGTCGCTTGACAGTGTGACCTGCAAAGTCTCACTCTTGGCGATCTGTTTCAACAACAAGAAGCTACACAAGAAGCCCCTCTTAACTCGAGTATCGATTCTCTTTTGTTATTTATTTATTTTTTTCTGCGATAACCAGAGCATCAGCTATCCGTGAACAGCACGTTGTGGTTTCGCGTGTGCGGACAGGTTACAAAGCTTTTTACAAAATGGGAGCGTCCTTCATCGAACGTTGGGAGCTTTAAGGAAATTTTCAACTGGTTAAGTTACTCTGGAATCTGGAGAAGCAGTAACCAATATGGTTTCTGAAGCATACTTCTTCAATTCATCCAGTATGACAAATGTGGCATCGCCTTCTATAGAGTAGAAGCATGCCAAATATCTTCCCTATTTATCACTAAAACATAGACAAAAAATTTTACTTAAGGAAAAAAGGTAAAGTGTGTAAAATGAAAACGTTATTTATAAATATATAAATAGTTCCAAAGTTATTTATAGTTAGATGCTATAGTTAAACTATAAGATATAAGAAGCTATGTATAGCCATATTGGCAAAAACACGTTTTCCACCCGCCTCTCGTTGATCTAACTCTCAGTCAAAAAAATCCATCTTTGAGCCCTTGATGACCAAGCGGTTTCAACAAACAATTATGTCTGCTGAAGAATCTTTTGAACCATAGTTAATAAAGTGCAGCAATGTTTGTGAAACCTGACAGAATTTTGATGTTGTATCGTCTTTTTTGGTTTTTGTGAACTGATCGGGCCAGCATTCAATACAGTTTCAATTATGTTGAGTTACCATTCAGAATTCTCATTAATGTATTGTAGTGGCGTCAGACAGCTTGACTTTTAAATTGTCGGTAATCTCAAAATATTTCTTGGCTTATTTAGGGTTTTCTGAATCAGAGTTTGCAAATTTTGATTCTGTCCCTGTATTTAGTCACACTGTGGAAACGCGAAGACAAAAGATCGCACACAGTGAGCTCTCAGCAAAACCAGCGGCTTTGTTCTTATTTTTTTTTTCTTGCCGGCTTTCATAACCGTTCAACTCAACCAGCTAAGGTTCAATCGAAATCCAAAACTTGACTTATTTAAAAATACGTGGTTATATTCCTAACTTATTAACTAAGTTGTAACTTATAGGTGCCTGAAACAAGTTATCAAAATTAAAGAAAGACATTCTATTTTTGAAAATAAGTGTGTAATCGTAGAATTGTTACATATCGCGTTTTTGTAATATATTTGTACATGACCGAGTTTGTAACTGTCTGAGACAGTGAAGGGATATACAATACTCTTAAACAACACTGAAATGACTCATACTTGATTTAAAATTGTCTCAGAGGAACTTGGAAACTACATCAACGAAAGAAAGCTAGTGTTTTTACTGTTTAACCCTTTAACTCCCATGAGTGACCAAGACAAAATTCTTCTCATAACGTCAATGAAATATCAAGGGATTGTTAGCTGATCGAATATCAAATTCTCCATGCTAACAACATGAGAACTGTATTGCAGACAGTAAGGAGAATTGCTGATGAGATCTTGGGAGTAAAAGGGTTAACGTATGGGACTGATCCTTATTCATCGCCTAGATGGGGGGGGGGAGGGGGGGTGGGAGAATTTTGGTTGTGTCAAGATAAAATCTGTCCGATGACGCCATTAGTCCCCTTCCCTTCCCTTCCCCCCACTGGCAGTCAATTTTCTCTTTCTATGCTTTTTCGAACGACGTCGCGTGTAGTGTATGTATCTTCGAAAATGGAAAATTCAATTATTGATAATTTTAAAGCGAAGATTGTTTTTTTTTCTAGTATCTAGTTTCGATTTCACCTCCGCGGTTTCAATTCACTAACTTCCTCGACGATGTTGCTGGGGCAGAAGATAGGATATTTAATCGGTTTTACTTTAAGCAAACCTGTTGTAGCCTAATATCCAATGAACTGACAAACAATCACGCCACTTTACTAGCAAATCAGGTCTTCCTCTCCTTCTAAGAGACGTAAGACGGTAGTCCTTCACATCCGCTTTTCACTTTTCATATTTCCGGTCAGAAGTGTTGTTCAATATTTTGACTCCTCCATGAACACCAACTATTTTCATATTCACGTAGAAAATTTTACTTTTATATATAGAGACAGAAAGTGCGCTGGATCAAATTTAAAACTAAACTGAAGCTTATCGGCTGTTCGATCGTTTTCCATTCGCCTATTCTTTGTCGATCACGTGCACTTAAGTCGTGAAGAGGACTTTCCCCTCTAAAGGACAAAGACAAAGATTGTAACAGATTAATGGCTTAGTTCTACGAATTTTTTTAGCTCGAATAATGAGGATAATCAGCTTACGGCACTCAACTCAAATTTTGTCGTGTGCAGTCTTTACCATGAGAAAATTAAACCTGCAATAAAGGCATCTGATCAGCATCTGACCAGAGTGATCAGAGTGCGTTCTAAAGTAGCGATACTTGAGCAACCCATCATGTTTGACTCTCCCATCAACCCTCCCTTGATAGGAACACGCTTCTCTTCCAACTAATCACCCTTTGCATCAAATAATTCTGCGATTACTAAAAAATACGCCCGCACGGCAGGTTAGTTTTCTACTTTGGAAAACGTAAGTCATGGATTAGAAAAAAAAAACAACAAACTCAAGGATTCATAAATCCTATTTTACATTAATTCCATCCAATTAAGTACTAATTAATAAATCCTATTTCACATTAATTCCATCCAAGTAAGTACTAAGCTTAAGCTTGCCAAAAATACGTTCACACGGCAGGTTAGTTTTCTACTTTGGAAAACGTAAGTCATGGATTAGAAAAAATAAAACAAACTTAAGGATTCATAAATCCTATTTTACATTAATTTCATCCAAACAGAAACAAATAGAAAGTTATATTTGGAAAAATATTTTTAGAACAGCTGTAAGCGAAAGGAAACGCGTTTTAGAGGTGTCACTAGTCGCAAGAACAGTTTTATATTTTTGTCCAGTGTAAAATTATATACAGCTTAGCACGTGTGTCATGATTCCACATGACGTTATTGTGATAACTATATAATTAATTGAAAATAGTCACTTCCGATTCGCTTCTCCTAAACTAAAGCAGCCATGATTCTTTCGGCTATCCTCACTTAGTCTCTGCCTTATTGATCCTTCGTTTTTGTACTCATGCGGAAGAAATCGCAATGATTTAGGGAGCTTCACAGAAACACATCTTAAAATTGTTCACATTACTCTATAGCACATGAAGTAACGATACTGATTGTATAAATTAGATTAAACTTCTAACTCAGATGTAAAAAACAGAGAGAACAAAACACCTTTTTATTACCTCTGGAACAAACTGGCTTAAATATACGGCATTTTATGTGATTAAAATACCTTGAAGTCCTGATGGAAATATCTTGTTTACATTTTCAAAACACCATCAATGGCAAAATGAAGTCGAGTCACAAAAGCATACGATTCTTCCCATCGGAAATTATTCAGTTAAAAGGGTACGTGCTTACAGAAAAATTATCTTTCGTAACTATGATTGTCGGAACTTAAACACAACAGGAATAAAATGGTGCGGAAGAACTCCAAAAGGAGAATGAGGTAAGGGAAGGGAAAATAGAAATGTGTCTTCGATATAAAGGCAACTTGCAATCAATAGTCATAGCCAGTTTAAGAACTAAAACTTCAATACAGAAAAATTAAATGGTCAAAAAAGAAACAGGTGAGTAATAAAATAATAACCAGTTGTAGTGTTCTACAAAGAAAGAAAAGGGATGGAGAGGCTCGCAAAGTTCAGCTAAATTTCAATAATCAAGTGAACTTTCTCACATTCACCGAGGCATCATTCCATCAACAAAAATAAGTAAAATAGGTATTTCTTCGAAATTTTTATTTTCCTCAATTGAATATTTTATATTTGACTATCACTTTTCCCTCCTTTCAAACTAGGAATGGAACTATTTTTAAAGGTCGTGTTTGGGATGATATTTGTTTTGACAATGATCTCACAAATTCAAAGTTCTTCTGCGAATTCAAAACCAAAGAGACTTCAACTACTCATCAAAGATATCATAGCGCCTAGGGTCAAAAACGCAACTAAAGAGGTAGGTGCCGTTCAAGTTGTAACTCTCACCTCTGTTTTCTTTCCAATATTTAAGTGTTAGTTTAGAAAATACTACTTACATCAAGAGAGAAGGCCACAAATTTTAGTCTCGAGCGAAATGTTTCAGTCCGGAATGCGCTGTGTCGCAGCATGTGACTAATATATGCCGCTACAAGAAACATTTCAATCAGTATTTTTGGGTGTAGTGTGTTAATATGTATGTAAAAACTCTCTGCAGATGCAAACCAAGTATCCATTTATAACCTCGACGAACGATCTGCAGGAGACAATGCTGATGCTTGGAGTGATAGTGACGAAAAAGTGCTCTTTAAATCTGGTATGTAATGAAAGTGAGGTCTGGGGAATACTAAAATCTATCACCCCCTGCACCCCACACTACCCCAACGTTAAGCTGATTACCCACTCTTGTTCGGCTCGCGATGTAAGAACCTTTCTCAAGTCCTCTCGACACCCCGCGAACGTTTTTGCGCTGGTAAACCAATAGAAATCTGTTACTAAATTGCTACTTTCACATGTAGCTGCATGGTCCTGGCTTTAAAATATTTACTCTTTTCTAAGATTTTCTGACCAGGATGAACCTTATCAAACTGCGAAGACCAACCTAGAGTAGCCAAAGTGCAGACTATGGTATACGGAGGGCTTTTCGGTTGATCCTAATGTAAAACCAACGTTACCTCTAAGCCAATTATAACAAGGATATTTATCAAATGAATCGAATGAAAGGTCAAAGAAAATACATGTGAAGTAAACTACCGGAAGCACAAGAAAACGCGAGCCACTAGATTTCCTTGATGGATTTTAGTAGGCATCTGATTGGTCGATAGCACGATGCTAGTTTTCTTCACCAATTACCGTAGGGGTAGAATTAAAACTAATGCAATCCATTATAACTTTTCACATTGAGCTGAGAGTTTCTCTCTATCTGACAATTGTGATCCTTTCTTTCTTATCCAGCAATTGAAAGACAAGCTCACTAACAGCTACTTAAAGCTCTCTAACTACATCACACCACTGTACATGGCCTACTCTTATGAAGAAGCACATGGGCCCCAGTACACGGTGCTAGCAAGTGTACTCAAGGAGACCAGCTTTTTCCTGAATAGTACAGTTAGCACTTTAAGACATGAGGTAATATTCTCCCTAATTCTCAGTATTCAAGAGGGCATTCCTCTGATCATTAATAACTTACTTACAAGCACCTATAGTAGCGATTACTGCACTCAAAAACCTAGGATATTTTAAGGTAAAGTGTGGTTCGTAAAGGTCACGTGATTGAAGTGATGCATGAAACATAAGGGTTACACTGGTACGACCAGCATTTACCACATTTAATCTCGATCAAGCAAAGTGTGCAAGACCAAAGGGTCTAATATTTGCGGAAGATCGCGACAAGGGTACGTTTCTCGTCCAGATATTCAGTTCAATTATCTTGGTAAATGTAACAGAAGACCTCTTACTGGGCTATTTTGCAGCTTCGTTGGCTGTGAATTTGTTATCGTTCATTTGAGCATGAATAATTTTTCATTGGTTTAAACTTCAGCTGCTGATAAGAGGCCACTCCGTGCCCGCTGGTCAAGTTGTGTTGACGGAGAAGCAATTAAATCGATACACTCGTGGATATCTACAAGAGCTTGTCAACCAAAACTGGCTGGTAAGTTTACAAAGCGATACAAGATCGTAATCATGTCTTCAATTTTTAATTCCAGTTTTCATCATGTTATACTTGTTTTCTTATGGATACAGTTTTCCTTAAATTAAATATCTCATCATCACGATCAAGATCTTCATTTACTAAGCTTTTGGTTGAGGATAAAATAGCATGACTGGTTTGACACGCTGTTTTCCAAGACAGTGACGTCCTAACTTAAATGAGCACTGCCATGCAGTCAGCATTCGCTAGCGTTAGTTTCATCAGTAGGAAATGTAATGAATGTTATTCAAGCTAAAGATAAGTACAAAGGTGACGTGCTCCAAAAGCTCTTCCTATTCTTACGCACTGAAAAAACGAGAAAATCTAGCCAAACCCTTTACACCACAACATCAGTGTGCATATACTCCATACTGTTCTCGATACATTTCCTAAGGTGCTGACAGAGAGACTTTGTTTCATAATCGAGAGCTTCTTTAATGGTGATCATTTCCTTTTTTTCCGTAAACTTAATGTTTGATTCAGGGGTGATTTTGTAAAGAAATGTTGACCTCTTTATAAAATTAGAAATCTTACTTTTTAGAACCTTACAATCACTGACGATGTCGTGAGGATTTATCGGAACTACGTCATCTATTCCACCTTTCATGATGTCATTACTGAGGTGTACACGTGCGTCTTTGGTGTATAACGTCAATCTTTGCTATGCACTCTGGGAGTGGCACACTGAATTTAATTAATTTTTTTTCTGGTAACCACTATTATAAGAAAATATAAAGAAAAATGGAAATAGTGTTGATCACTTCTGCGACGATATAATTGCTAACAAACGGAAATTTTACGAAGGTTTCGTGAAATGAATCTGCAGCGAACTTCCTCTCTTTAAGTATAATAATGATAATGAACAATTTCTTTCAAAATTCCTTTGTAATTGAATATCATAAATTAATTGTTTGGTGACTGTCAACCGATAATTGGCCTATTTGTTATTACTCTCAGTGAGAGACGATATTTATTACATTGCGAAAAACTAATTATTATTATCAACATTATTGCTATGTTATCAACTGATCAGGATCAGTTGTTTTGATGTGATACAACTTATTATTTAACCTTGTAAAGGATTTCGAAGTTACAATAAATCTATTATCACACGTTAAAATCAGTTTCTATCGTATAGCTTAATTATTCTAAAACCCATTTCTCTTGCCAAAGTAATCTTATCTGGGTTCTTAAGAGGCATTACGTCAACTTTAAAACTTAACGCAAAGCTTCTTATGTTTTTTGAACAGCAAAAGGGTTGCCTTATCATACGTGGAAGTGACTGGAGTTGTTCTATCATCATGAATGCACCTGTTTCTTGGTTGACTTAACACACTCATGTAGGTTATTGATTTAAACACAGCAAATGAGTGTATTAATAGCAAGGAGGTTTGAACCCTCACGGTCCAGTTTTGACAGAATTTGATCATCAATATTCTTAAACCAAGAGTGATTGCTCTAAGTTACATTTCGGTAGCGTTGAAAGTAAAAAACAGGAAGTGAAAAGTCGATTTGAGCACTGTCTTAGATCGGTATGCTCTTCAAATAGTCAAGGCCGGATGCCTCAGAGAACTTCTTGCAACAAATGCAACAATTAAACGCAACAATTGGGATGCTCCCCACAGTTGAAAAAAAGGAACATCACAGGCAGTAAGTCGAGGAGATTCTCTTATACCACGGCGAAACTCTCCTGTGTGGAGTTTTGTTCCGTGAGAGCCAGCACTTTAACTGTTGACATTCCAATTGTCATTAGTAGGAAAGAAAACTCAACGGCAATCGGTACTCATTCACCGTTTTCAACGAGCGTAGGCAAGCTTTAGCATAGAAGAACAGAATAAAATATGTAGCTTTTTAAGGCATCTGAACATAAAAAATGGTTTTTTCTTCATAACTAAAGCAATGCCATTCCTCAGAATCCAGCGAATTAAGCTTGTATAGAGCTTTTAACGACAAAATCAGCCAATTTAAAATGAAAGGGTTTTTCACCTACTTTCTAACTATCGCTGGCGTTCAATACAGTTGAGTTCTTATTTCAAAATGTCAGAAAGTGACCGGACAAGTTATCTTTATTCCATAAAGTTGTTAATCACGGAACATCTCTCACACAGCTTGGAATTTCGTTCCACCTCAGAAGCTCCAGGAAATTTGATGATCGAATCATGGGAAAAATAATGTTGGCCTTCTTCCAAGGAAAATTACATAAGAGAATGGAACATATTACAACTGATTAGAGAATGTTTTCAGTGTTTTAACTGATGATCGACTCAAACAGCCAAAGGTCATTACAGTGGGACACATTTCTATTAGGAATAATGTTTACCAAAACCTTGATAATCACCAAGGCCAATCAGAAAATAGGATAACATCGCAAGGGCCAATCGGAACCAAAAGTGAAAATAAGAAAGCAAGCCGCAATTACTGAGAGTTACGCAAGTAACCAAGTTTTGCGTCTGATTATTGTTGCAGATCGAGGAAAAGTAAAATCAATTTAATACCGGGTTACTTTCGACACTCAACTGAAAATCTATCAGTTAAGGAGAAGCTGCTGCTAGTAGTAGCTATGAGATTACTACAAGGAATTTTACAGTTTCATAACCTGTCCTTAGAGTAACACAGATAACTAAACGCAAGTTTCAAGAAGAAAAAGTAAATTTTTTAAAGAAGCTTCAGCAGCGTAACTCTTTACTGTCGGCTGGTGAAAATTGACTCTATTTTTTAATGGGAAAGTTACAGCGTTCGACGAAGGAAAACGCATACTAATCGCAGCGTTTTAACGGGAATCACTCTCGAGGGCTTTATGGACCAGTCCTAAAGGGGATCGATCGTGATGCCATGCGATTTCAGGCATTAGGCGCCATTTTGGACTAGCTTGGCTGGCTGGCTGGCTATGTGGCACAAATGGCCTCGATCTCCTGTGTTTTTCCTTGGCCGCCTTGAGCTGAAGACACCGATTTTTTCTGCGCGATCAGTACAATAAAAAAGACTTTTACTAGAGATCGAACGCACTTTACTAAACTTTGATTATTACTAGTTTAAGTTATTAAAAGGGGGAGACGTTTGACTTATGCATTTAAAATTACATGGATACTCTCCGCCAAAAACAAACAAACATACTATTGTTTTCACTGAAAAATAACGTCAGCCATTTCAGGTTGATTTCGTGATGAATTTAATTACCTTGGAAATCTTCCATCAAAAACACCGCGTGAATATCAACCGTCTACTTTTGAATCGTGACCCAAAAAACTATCGAAATAAGAACAGTCTTGCATTAAATGCAAAACAAGCGAAATTTGTGCGGAACATGAAAGGAACTGTCTCAAGTATTTTTCGATAGTTTTATGTGTGAAAAAAGGAGGTCAAACCAAATCGTGTATAGGCTTACAAAATATAGTAACAATATATACCTTCATCACTGATTCGATGTCAGATTGTTCCATTCCATTCCAGATATCCAGATGTGCTTTCATCTCACTTTCCGGCGATAATAGCGCGCCTCTAGAAAGATGCATACGCAGAAGTTGCTTAGTTTTTCACACGAGTTATAAATATCAAAAAGAGAAGTTTCTCAGACAAAAGGAAAACGTTTCTATATGTTTATGAAACTGCGCCAACTAACGAGCCATTCAGTTGTTAACAAACAAATCGTAATCAAGTCTAAATCCTGTATTTTTTCACTCGGCTCCTGTCACGTCTGCCGAGAGTGATGACTTGTGACCGGTAAAAAGCATAATATATTTCCCCGTACATGACGTGCCCCTCCTATCATGCAAGCAAGTTTTTCCGCTGTGCTATTTAAACATCAAGCCGACGTGCACAGATGGTGATACCTTTGTGTAGAAACGAAAATTCATTGACTACATCAAAGTTGCTTAAAGAGGTTAGATTAATGAAATCCAGGTTCTACCATTTTTCTCCAAATAGTATGGATTTAACCACGATTAAAACCAAAAAATACGCAAAGGTCTTAACAACAAACAAGTTTAAAATGTAAGGAAATCTCTTGTCAGTTTTTTTTTCCCTGAGGCCAAAGCTCAAAATCTGTTCAATTTCAAAACCCCTGGAAGATTTGTTTGACTACAACAAGTGCTCAAATCTATTCAGTTTCAAAACCTATCAGAGATTTGTTTGGAAACAAGTGCTCAAAATCTGCTCAATTTCAAAACATGTCGAAGACTTGTTTGAGAACAACAAGTACTAAAAATATGTTCAGTGTCAAAACATATGGAGCCAATGGGCTTATTGATAAACCAATTATATCCATTTTGCGGTGACCTTATAAAAAATGGGTTCAAATAGGAGCATACTTCAAATCGACACTTACGTTCTTAGAATTCTTGTTCACTGAAGCATTGGACATATTTGTTACATTAAAAAACTCTTTCCTCGTTCTTTTTTTTTTTTTTCTTAAAAAAAAATTGTATTCCATCTTTTAAACTACAGGGCTATTTAGCATTCACAAAGTACGTCATGTAAGCCATAGCCGGCCTATTTGGGTGTTTTTGTTAAGAATCATGTCCTTGACTTCTTTGCCCCACTTAAACAATAACAAAGTGCCATTAGTGATAATTGTAATGCCAAATCATTTTCGTTCGAGTGCTAACTGCAGGTTTAGAAGATTTTTCATTTTCAACCAACGTGCTTTATAGGCATAAAGTAAGATTGATAGAGGTACCTTGCGTTAAAATTCACCATAATCAGCGCACCAAAGATTCTACTTTATTCGCGTTTAAAACATCTCAGCTCAAGTGTTTTGAATTTTCTTAATAGTTTTGTTAAACATCGATTTGGACTGAAATTGACCCACGGTGTGCGACTATGAATAGCATCTAAGTTGGTTTAAACTCCGAGGCAAAATATGCCGACAACTTAGTAATGGACTCCTGCAAAGAGCGATACTGACCAAAATGAGGAATTTGCGAAAAAACTCTCTAAATAAAAATCTAAATTAAATCATCCCTTATTCATAGGTCATCATGATTAAATATTCGGCCATATGGAAACTCTGTTGTTGTGTCAAGTTAAAGGCGTCGTTATTACTATTTACAATCGTGAACTTAGATCAAGTAAATGTACAAAGTACCACAGAATGGTACATAAATAAATTAAGACAGTTCAGAGACAAGCGAACTGCATTAGACAAAGATCTCTACCGATCGATAATATGAGGAAGACATCTGTAGCACTTGATTGTACTCTTGGATTCTTGTCTGTGCGTATTCTCCGAAATCAGCACCAGCCTCGATGAGTAAAATCGCACATTTCCAGTTTCCCCGCCTAACAGCCGCATGTAAAGGTGTCCAACCGCTAACATCTTTCAAACTTACGTCCGCTCCGTACTGTATAAGAAGCTGAGTGCATTTCAAATCCGCATTTGCTGCAGCAATATGTAGTAGTGTTTGCCCATTTGGAGTTTGAGAATTCACGTCCAGATCTTGCTGTTCTAGAATACTTTTGGCCTCCGCATAGGCCTTTTCTGTTACTGCAGAGAAAAGAAGAGTTGTTGGACTGAATGAAATACGCTTTCGACTTCGCGCACTTCTACCGCTATATTCACTTGAGTCCTGCGAGTCCATTGAACTGGAACTTAAACTGGGACTATCGTGACCTTGGAGCTTGTCTCTTCTACTATCGGCCGGATAAACCTTTCTTCTTCTTCGAACCAGTTTCAGAGGAAAGTTGTGTCGTAAATAAAGTACAACTTTCATCAACATTAAAACCCTCCTAAAGTATCCCTCATCTAAGTCTGTAACCTCAGCGGTGTCGCCTCTCGACCAAATCTGACTCCTTGGCGAAATATCTTGATGGAATAATCGGTTGTTATCCGAATCTGTTGAAGTTGTATTGAGTGATCTCCTATCGGAATTGACCGATGTCTCAGAACTTTGCGAGTAAGCAGAGTCGGAAAAAGAGTCGTACGTTTCTGTTTCAGGATAATCGGAACTCGACGTCGATATTGTTGCGTGTTTACGGTTATCAGGAGATAAGTGTTGGTTTGTTAACCGGCAATCAGAGTTTGCAATGATACGGGTTTCTTTGACCGATTTCTCGTTTACTGGCGACTGACGTCTCCATTTTGGTGATAATCTTAACGAATCCAATATTCTCTCCACAGCTGACATCGTGCTTTCTTTCATTGGCGTCCTATCCATTGTTAAGTTTTCCTCACAAGAACCGCCGCTCACAGTAGTAGACTTTTAAGGTTCTCTATCATCAACTGAGGAAGGCAGACGAATGCAGGACCTTACTTCTGCGTCACAAAGTAGCCTTTCGTTGGTCATATAGACAACTTTTTCGACAGTCGTTTCCGTCGCTCGCTCTTACCTGTTAACTTTTTGTAGCGACTCACAAATGCTCTCTGGGTAAATAGCCTTTGTTTTGACTTCTACCGCGAGCTTTTACAAAATAAAAGAACTCATTTGAAACTTTGCCATCCTCACGAACATGTAGAGTTGAACTAATCACGTGCAAATGACCGTGATTGCTACGAAATTGGATTTATCAGACATCAGGTTTATCAGACATCAGGGTCATGCCTTCTCTCCCACTTAACACGGCATGTTGTCGTAAGCGACGTAACTGGTTGACATTAAATTTCATAAGACTTTGTAATCAATCAAGCGCGTAAACACAGCCAATTGAAACGATTTGCATGTAAACGGTATTGTAGTAATCCCTTTGTATCCATTGTGGTTCATTTCCAAAGCCGCTTACTTAAAGACGTCAGTAGAAGTTTAGAGATTGTTTAACGATATAGGACAATCTAAATCTCATAAAAAAACAAACCGCAATAAGGCAATCATGGAAAGCAAATGCTCCTTAAAAAAAATCGTTGAACCAAACCTTTTTGGGCACAGGGTTAGGAGTGGGACATAATGAATGTACAGTTTAATGTTCAAAGCGGTCCCTCTGTTAACCACAATAGATTTGTTTTTATTAATCATCAGCGTGCCATTTTCTACTTGGATAGGTTTACCTCTCCCTCAAAAGTGAAAACATCAAAATAATAGATATTGCAGCCGACTTCGATAAACCTGTTGAATACCTAACAGAAAAAAGTTGGAAAATAACCACTTTAATTGAGTAAGAACATCGTTCAGTGCATTGACGGTTACGTAATAGCCCTAACAAAATGGGCGAACGCAATTAGGAGAACGCCAATCAGAACTGAGCTTAACAAAAGCATGGCTAGCACCTTTAGAGCAAGAAAAAGCGGTTAATAGAACCCGTTAGTTTCTAAAGAAAATTATCAGAAACTTTGAACAACAACGTGTAAAAAGAAAAGATAAGAGAATTATCAATGACGCAAACTAAAAACTTATCTGTGTGTAGTTACGCAGTAATTGAACGAAAAAGTATTTCAAATAGTTTAAATACCAATTGAGACCTTTTTCCTCAAAGTGATCCCAATGCATGTGAGCTGTTCTAGATTTGAACATTTCAATCGAAACTTTTGGCAAAGCATGTTTGTGATCATAAAAGAAACAAGTTAATAAAAATTTTGCGGGACTTCTAAACATCATGCTATAACTTCCGTTTTTTTTTTCCTGCTTTTCGGTTTGTTCATTAAGAGTGTTACCAAACACACAACCACCGCAAAAAGAAATAGACAGAGATCTTCATTTAACATGTACGAGTCTTGATTAATTGATCCCAACTGAAGTTTGTTCTCATTTTTACTGCCTAGGTACTTCTAAGTCTTACTTCTCTATAGCAATACATCCACGACAAAAGTTTGTTGTGTGTGGAATAGTAGTCGAAACGAGTATGTGTATTCTTACCATATAAGGTTTATACAATTATTCCAAGTGACACAGAGTAAGCGATTGGCAATGCCCTTTTCGCCTATCCCTCCCCCTCCCTGTCCCGCATTGATAAAAACAAATTCTAACTATAAATTAACGATGATATATTAAGCCCAAGATTTATGAGACGGTCTCATACGCGTTTTACACGCATACTTCCCCCCCCCCCTCCCCATTTTTGAGTAGAACTGTATATACTGCTGATGCAAAGTGCAATGGAGACAGGTAAATGTATCCGAAATAGATACGAAAATATATAGAACCAACTGCTCGCATACTTTAGAAGAACACAGTTCTAAAATGGGCGTTACGCTTCTTCTTGTACAGCGCTTTGAATAAAGTTTCAATTCGTCCCCCAACACGGTAACAGTACACGAGTATTGGCACAACATTTCTTAACATCTCCTGTAGGACTCAAGATGGATCGGAATAAACGAAGGCTAAGACATAACATGATGATACTCTAGAAAATAATGTTAGCAGCGGTAAGAAGACTCCACGAGTGAACAAACTAAAGATAATTACCATAAAAGCCCTTCACTGAAGGCTCCTCAAATTGTCTTCCTTTGACGTTTAAAAAAAATATTGTTTTTGAGTGGACAGTGCTGTATTACGACTACATGTACTCTGTCCATAATTTGAACTATGTTCCATTTGATGGCATAGTCCACAATCAAAGGCAAACTACCATAGTTCTGACTTTTACGTTAGGGGACCAAAAGATTGTTTCAACGCGTGTGTTGTTACGTGTGTCGCATGTGATATTTGATCATGTGATACACTGTATTGTGCAAAGGAGCATTAGAAGGTGAAAGTTTGACATTTGATATTAGGGACAGAAATTTTAGATAGAGCTTCTGAACCCTTTGTTTCCCAGAAATGAACGACACGTCACTTCTAATAATATCGATGTATTATCCACTTAAAAAGTGACGAGAAAACAATCTTATCTTGGAGACGTTGTTACTGTGTCATAGCACTATTTCACGTAAAAATGTAAATCATATAAATAAAAAAGAGAATCATAAATCAGAGCTTGGCAGCTGTAGGGTTCATTAATAAAATGTAAAATTAATTTTAGGTCGCATAACATTTTGTTTTGCATATGATGCTTCTAACTTTCATACTACATTACGCTTAAGGTAAATATTGTAACTTTACAACAAGGTACAAAGAAACCAGTTCAAACAATACAGAAGGGTTTTTTATAAACAAAATTAAAAAGGATTTTACGAAGGGAAACAGTATAGTTTTCCCTGTCTTACACAATCAAAACTGTTGACATAAAATACAAAGTTTGTTAGATGGCAAGGTAGAATTTTTTTAAAAATTCGTGCAAAGGTATGGATCCTATTTATAAGAGGAGTTTGCAAGAATTTGCCTGTGTAGTTTTAGATATAACTTGAACAGTTAATCACCATATCACTTGCCAAAGGAACAAACATAATAATGATGGGACAGGATAGTTCATAAAGGTATTGTTCATATTTCTTAAAGGTGTATATAATGATGATACATGTGTAAATTTTTGCGCAATAGTGTCAATATAATTTTATAAATAAATTATCTATCTAATGTAATAATAATCTAAAATTTTCAGACCAGAATGTAAACTAGTGTTATAAATCAAGAAATAACTGATCTTGCAACAAAAACAAGGTTTTTAACTTTCTCATAGCTTGCCACCTTTGTAACAAATTCAGGTGGATTCAGGGTCCCCCCCATAGGACAATTAGTGTTCCTATACTCCATAACAGATGATATAGAATGCCGGGCTGAACAATGAAATTCCCTAGCACCAGATTCCAGTAGTATACGTTCCAAATTACGTTCAGTTATTCCACCACCTACAAAAATAACAGGTGATCCTTCACATCCTCTTGGAAAAAATTGAAAACCTTGCCGCAACCATATTACTGCTACAGTAGGGGGAAAACCCTTTGAATGAGCAGACTACATTGTGCCCCTTTAGGTCAGAAATCAATGCATATTAGGTTCTTAAACAGAATCGTTAAGAATGAAATAATAAAAATCATAATAATTACAATAATAATTATAGTAATCATGATGATGATGACTAAGTCAAAATTCATTGACAAAAAATTGTATCTACATACATACACACATTCATACTGGTTTACTGTGTAAATACACGTAGCTATTGGTGAGAAACATTCTCAAGCTAGTTTTCAGGTACTAAACAGAAGATAAATTAAAACAGACTAAAATAGAATTATCAAAGTATCTTAATTTTTATGAGGTCAACCAGTCAAACTCATGGACTGTATTTCCCTTAATAAGCTATCCAACAGAGGAACTTGTGAAAACATGTACCTTAAAACTGAATCATACAAAAAATAAAATAGAAGACAATGACTTGTTGTGAATAGAAGAACCTACCTGGGACAATGGTAATTCTGTCTTTAGCCTAAGAAGGACAAAACTTCAAATTATCCATGTCATTTAAGACATGTATACTTTTTTAAATACCTACTCACACAAAGAAAACTGTTACTTTGTATAAATGACATTTTCAGCTGATGCTATCTTTGAAGTTTAAGTTTCTTCTCTTTGAGTTTGCTAACTTTCAATCTTGGCTGAATTTTCAAAAAATACTCATTACAGCCCTCCAATTTGAGACTGTTCACCATGGCAAGTAAAAAATATACACAGCAACTAAAATTTTAGTGAAAGTTGCTGATTGGCTACCAACAGATTTGGGAAAAAATTAGAAAAATCTATTAATGTTTGGTTGAATTAACAAATGTACCAGCATGTCCTTGCTGGTACATTATGATGATTTTTTTTTCAGTGACCAAATTTTTTTGCTATAGCAACCATTTTATAGCTGAAGGTCACCAAAAGGCAACTTTTGGAAAAAGGGAACTTGGAGCCCATGAATACCTTTTCAATTAGATGTGTTATAGTTTGTAATCCTTCCAGTGCTGAAGAGTCTTGTCCACTAGTTAAGATACGCTCAAAGCCTATCTTAATAATAACCTCTAAAGATGTGTAAGGATCCTTGAGCATGTCAAAAGCTGCAAAAAGTAAAACATTCTAACTTTAGCCAACTGGACCCACCAAAATGGTTCAATAACAAACTAACATTTATCAATAAACTTCTTACATAGATATATATCAGAAAGCTTGAAATAAAGCTGGTTTATCAAACTTCATGTGTTACTTTACATTATTTTGTTTACTTTACTTTTTTCTAACAGGTACACTCAATATTTTAAACATATTGAAGTATTGGAATTAGGTTTGTAAAAATAAACCTCTGTACACAGTCCAACATTGAGTAACTTGTCTAAATCTTATGAAAAATTTGATACTTTACAAAGAATTAACTCTGGAATATTCAACACTAAGTATGAAAAGAAAAGATAAGAGAGTACTACCTCTGTGGAAAGTAGCTTGAAGTGGACTTGCCAGATCTAAACAAAAACAAAGAGGAAAAGACAATTATCAAAAATTCAGAGAAACATAATAAAATAAAGTTGATACCTTTTTAAATTAAAATAATATTATTTCAGAGTAGGAAAGTAAGGGAATTGCAAAGTGCTTCTTACTCAAGAGCAGAGGTTTTAATTGATAAATGGAGTCACACCTCCAGAAATGGCCAGCTCTAGATGGGAACCTGCTCATCATGGTAGCCAATGCCACAGTAGTCCATAATTTTCACTTTTACCAATCTGAATCACTACCCCCTCCCCCCCTTAAACAGCTTCCTTTCTCCTTTCTAAAATGGCCAGTGACCTTTATCTGAGGTTAAGTTCAACTGTTTTATACTTGTTTTAAATTCTCCCTACTCTCACTTAGTTTTTGCCACAAACACAAACTGATAAAGAGATTCTCTAAATTGTGCTTACTAAAAAATAGCAGGGATGAGGACACTTGCACTAACATGCTACCACATTGTATTGAAGAAATACATAATTGTAATAAAAATTAAGCAACCTCTGAGTTCTTCACACCTCAATGTGTCCACTGCCCCTTCACTAAAGGATGACATAAATATTTATCATCAACAATAATACTCTAAATATAATGAAAGCAATGATGTAATGAAAATAATAATAATCATCATAATATTAATAATAATACCAGTAATAATAATAATAGTTTATTTCCAGAATATCTACATGCATCTGCCTCTGATAACTTACAACAGAGAAACAAATTAATTACATAAATTAAGAGCTAAGTATTGATGAACACCTACAGACTGTTTGTTAAATATAGTAAACAAATGTCTAAAACAATGATTAACAGCTGATAAAGTTTACATCTTGTAAGAACTAGAATTACATGTACTTGAAATATTATATCACACTGTTTATAAGCTTTGTTCCCCACAAATCTCATTTAACAAATTGAATGTTGTAGAGCAAAAGTCAGCACATGACCTTATTGGTTGAAGAATTCCAATAATGTAAAGTTTAGGTGCAAAGTCTATAAAAGTTCCTTTCTGAGTAGTACAACTGGCTGTGAAGTGCCACCATAACCCTTTTAACTCTCTAAGAATGACTGGCTTCTAACTTCTGACCTTACAGTATCACTCTTGAATCAAATATAAAAGTTATAAGAATAAAGGAAATGATCAACAATTTCAGAAGCTCTTGACTGTCACACAAGTTATCCTTGTCACTAAGACAGTGGTCAATACTAAAGGATATACACAGCAAACTAAGGAGAATATGAATGCTAACATTAGGGTATAACATGAATTAAGAAATGCCGAAATTATAAGCACTGAAGTTTTTCTTAGTTTATTTCAGCTGAGCATACAGCTCTACCTGAATAGCTTCATAAAAGAGGACTGCAGTTAAAAAATTTCTGACACTCACACACCTTGTAAGGATGCCAAACACTACTCCATCTGCTCCAGCTTCCTTGAATATCTTGACATCTTCCTTCATTACTTCAAATTCATCCTCGGTGTAAAGAAAGTCCCCTCCTCTTGGCCTTATCATTACAAACACTGGAATTGGTGATCTTTGTTTGATAATTCTAAACATTCCTGCAAAAATAAGATATTTAAGCTTCACACAAGCAACTTGAACCTAGAAATACTGGAGACATTAAGTACAATATTTACAGCAAAACTTGAATAGCAAAAAAGGAACTTATTTCCTTCTTCTTTCAGTCATTTTTTGAACTTAAGTTAACATATTTGCTTTTAGTAGGAACATGTAATTCTGGGCTAATTTGCAACACTGTTGATCAAAGTTAAGACAGGAAAGAGGGTAAAAGCAGAGATCATTCTTGCTATTATTTGTTGCCGTGAACATCATGTGTTCACCCATGATCAAATATTATAACCCTTCAGGTATTGAAATTGTCACTAAATAGAGTACTGTAAAGTGGAAAAGAATTTCAACCCTTTAACTCCCTCTACACACTACATCAATACAGTATCAAGCAGACAAGCAATGTGAATAAAAAGAAAATGTCAGTTAGGGGAGTATTTAATTACGGTTACTGTAATACCAGATTCTTGGAATTTACATCAGAAGAACTGTATGTCAGATAGTAAAAAGAATTACTCTTGAGATCTAAGAGTGAAAAAGGGTTAAAAGATCTTGATCCCAACAAGAAAAATTGACTACCAAAATGTATGAGAAGCACAGACATTGAGTGGTAACAGTAAAGTATTTACAACTACCACTCCACATTATGGTAAAATTCACCTGCCTAGAGATGGTGTGGTTCCACCTTCCATCAGATTGGAGCACAGTTCAACACGAGTGGCACCTACATGTACATATAAAACAGCCACAAAGCTAGGAATGTTGATCAAAATCATAAAAATTCTACCTTAGACATTATAAACAAGAAATTTAATTTTAAATTTCCCTATACAATTTGTAATAAAAGAATCACTAGCAAGAGCTTTATTTCCACTTTTCTTTAATAGAACAGTCAATTTATCAGTTGATATGTTAATTGAGAGTTGATTAACACATTGGTAGATAATTACAGGTGGTAGCTATAGGAATACACTGTAGATAATTGGTTGCTAGTCAGCACACAGTCAGACAATAGCTAACCAATAATCAGCCAATAGTTTGGTAATACTCTTCGGGTAGAAGACAGTTGTCTTGGTGTCTCAATAGTCAACCAAAATCTCTACTGAGAAGTCAATCCACTATCAATGAAGGTATGGTCACCAATAAGCTGCCTGTAGAGCAACTATCAACCAACTGTTATGGAAAATGAATGTTCGATCGTTTGTCTTACAATGAAAGAGTCAGGCTAATCAGTTGTCTTGGTGTCTCAATAGTCAACTAAAATCTCTACTGAGAAGTCAATCCACTATCAATGAAGGTATGGTCATCGATAAGCTGACTGTAGAGCAACTGTCAACCAACTGTTATGGAAAATGAATGTTCGATCATTTGTCTTACAATGAAAGAGTCAGGCTAATCAATTGAGTGTTGATCACAACTTTTTGACTGCTGCACTGCTAGTCTTTGTCAAGTCAGGCTACAAGGTTGAAAGGTTTACCTGTAGCTATTCAGAGCACCTTGGTTTGTTGTTATTGGTGTATAACGATGCTCTGTTAATCAACTCTCTACCAAATTTCTATGTACATGTCAATCAACCATACACCCAGACATTGACCAACCTATAACCAAGACTATCTACTGTACACACAATCCAAATATTGTAGCATCACTAGTGTCAATGTGCATGGAAGAGTAAATTAATATCACGGATTTTGCCATGCCTGGAAGCAGACCTCCAGTTGGTTAAATTTAACTGACCTTTGATTTAATGAACTTCCCAACAGGTTTTTGGTGAGTTTATTAACAGAAATTTCAAGAATGGTCATTACTTACTTATATGGAAGAAGGTAGAAGAGGATGGAAGTGAGTGGCAGGAAGAAAAAACATAGGGTAGCAACTTGTATGTTGGTTTTCATGATTTTAGTAATATTTTCTTTTCTGTTAGTTACACATGCATGCAAATTGATTGTGTATCTAAATGTCTGGTTAGTTTGATATAGGCAAATTTATCCCCCCACCCACCTAGCCATGCAGTAAAAACCATCATGCCAAATAAACATCACTACTTCCTATAGTAACAATAGAGTAACAATAGATTCCAGATTAAATTTTTCTGAACATGTAAATTCAGCATGCAAGATGGCCAGTCAAAGAATTGCTGTCCTCATGCAACTAAGAAATCTAATCCCTATTAAGGCCAAAACTCTAACTGCATAAGGCAGCTGTGTTACTTCACCTTACATACTGCCACCTAGTGTGGCACTTTTGTAGAGCTAGTGATTTGCACAAGCTTAAACAGTTTCAAGAAAGAGGTTTGAGAGTGGTGTACAATGAAAAGTAAGCTAGTTATTTTCAATTATTGAAAAGGGCCAAGCTGCCAAATTTGATGATCAGACATTTGCATGACATTGCATTCTTATGTATTAAGTTAAATATAAGCTATGCCCAAGTAATATTTGCAATATTTTTAAAGAACATAGCTCTAGGTATAATTTGAAGCAATCTGATTTCTCCACTCCTATGTATAACTCTGTAACTTAAGGTAGGCACTCGCTGCGACACTTAGGACCTAAATTATGGGCGAAGCTGTCATTGGATGACAGATCAGCCAAAACACTTAATGAGTTTAAAAGGCGCATTTGTGGCAAAGATCTTGGTGAGTTAATAGAAACCGGCTGCAAGGGTTGTATCCTCAGCTCAACATGACATTTTTACCTTTTTTTTTTCTTTTTTTTACTTCAATACTCATATTTTAATGTAGATGTCTTAGTCTTTTAATTCTATATGGTATTTTATATAATTCTGTATTGTATTTTATACTAATATGTGTCCCCTTATTAGTATGGGTTCGGTAAAGTTTTCGCATAGCTATTTAGCCATGTAAAACAAATCTGTTTTCCTAATGGCAATGTATTGTTTTTGTCATTGTTTTCTCTATCCAGAACTGGATGCATAACGTAGTATGGGGTTGTGCGGAAATTTTACCATGGGTTCTCCCAGGCTACATGGTTCGACACTTTAATAAAGTTTATTATTAGCAGTAGTAGTAGTAGTAGTTAAGTAACACGCTTTGGTGACAACTGACCGTAATACCGCCAAAATACGGTGTACTTGTTCGACAGGTTTGTGAATTAATCCTTGAAAAATGACTTCTCCAATGTCTCATGAGATAAGTTATGGTGGAAACGATGAAAAAAAAAAGGGGCACTAACTCATTTTAGGTTTGTCAGACACAACTAGATCCAGGTAGAAGAGGGAATGAACTGACGTGCTATTTTGAAACGAAATCTGAGGATTGTATCGTGATATTGTAATTAGAAGGACACTGATATAAACAGCTAAAACATTTCTTACCTCCTTTTTCAGCATTTAAAGCAGACTGTACAGAGTCTACACATACTTCCATGTTGATATTTGTTTACCAGTAAAGAATCAGCCGCTGCAAGCCGCTGCGAGCCGCTGCACGGTCAGCCAAAATTCAGTAACCTTCCGCACGTGAATCTTTCATTTTCATCTGTGGAGGACTGGTGTCGAGAAAAACAGTGCACAAGATGGCGGCCTCGTTGGCCATGTGTAGTCGCTGTGCACGAAAGTTAAAACATATTCGCGTAAATCGGCCCCTAGCACTGAGGTAAGATAACAGGGTAACACTAATGTACCTATGGTGGGTTTTAAGCCTCTTGAAATTTTACGATCGAGGTCAAATTGCGGCAGACTAAGTGCATATGTTTTAACATGTAGATTGCCCTCACTTACAGAGTGTAGAATACCATGGAAAAGAGCAGCAGTGAAAGGCTGATTTTTCAGATTCTAGCAGATCAGGCAAACTTTAGTCTGATAATTTTGGAAATTCTTATCAGTTGCGGGAAATTTTGGTTGACTTTGACCTGTTGACTGCCAAAGCTACATGTATGTTCAAAACGCACTGAATTGTCTATAAAACACTAACCGGGTAGTCATCTGGTCACACTGATAGTATGAGGTGTATATAAGACTTCGTGGAAGTGTACTACATTATACATAGGGTGTGTAATTTAGACTGGAGTGAAAATAGTTTCAGCTGCACCCATTTGGTCTGAATGTGCCAAGTGACGATTATGCCTCTGCTAAAACTTTTCAGAGGTTTACACGAAGGCGTACATATGAAAACCTGTGAGTGTCTATGTTTCACCACCACGAGTTTCTTAGATTCCGTTGTTTTGAGTTCTTTGTGGAAATGTGGACTTTAACCCTTAAACTGACCCATGAGTGACCAAGACATTATTTCTCTTTACAATATCAATAGACAATCATGCAGACAAGTAATGAGAATAACAAAGTATCAATCAGGGGACTATTACTTGATCCAATACCAAATTCTCTAAACTAACATCATATCATATGTGACAGACAGTAAAAAGAATTACTAATGAGATATTGGGGGTGAAAGAATTAAACATATGTATCAACAAACAACATGCAGAATTAGCATGTAATTATTTGCATCATTTTTTATCCTTCACAGACCACTATGCACTGCACCCTCCAAGTCATCTTCTGATGAATTAGATGATAAAGCCATGTGTGAGTTGCATGTACTCACTTTTTACTAATTTGAAAATGACTATGAGTTAGTCACCATAGACCTAGTTAACATTTAAACTCCTGTGAGCGACCAAGACAGAATTTCTTCTTACTATATCTATACAATATCATGCAGACAAGTGATGAGAATGAAGAAAAATATCAATTATTGGATTACTAATTGATCTGATACCAAATTCTCCAAACTAACATAATGAGAATCGTTTGGCAGACAGTAAGGAGAATTACTTACAAGATCTTGGTAGTTAAAGGTGAAACCACTTAGCCTGATTTGAGTCTCCTGTAGTTTATTGGTAGAGCATTTAAAATAGTAATCAGAAGGTCATAGGATCAGCTTCCATTGAGAGCACTTGGACCTCATTTTTTCTGAGTATGCCGGAGTCATTCACTGAACAACATCACCTTTCAACTATGAGTGCATTTAGAGCTTTTTTTCATAGGTTTCAATTTTATTGAGTATTATTTTCCAGTGAAATTAATTATGGCATGTTGATAATAAAAATGCAGAAAGTGAAGATTCTGAGTTTAAAAAGTAGTTTCTTTCTGTTCTTCATTAGATTTAGAAGCTCTATATGCTTCTTCCAGGAAAAGGTGAGTTGCTTTGTTTGCTTTCAGACCTCTGAGACTACTGGTAGTTGAACATGATTGTCTAACTAGCTCATACATGAACTACCCAGTAACTGTTAATGTTGTAAGTAAAGTGGAAATCAGGGCAGAATTATTTTAAACTGGGTTGATATCTATTTTTAATAATATTGCATCTAGAACAAATTAAGTACAAATTAAAGTAGTTTAAACTTGATTTAAGTTGTGATTCAGTTATCTTCTCAGGTTGAATTTTTCTGATATCAAATCCATTTTTATTTTTCTTTGTGTTGTATTGTTTGGCATGATTTGAAACAAAGAAGGATACAAATCAAAGTGGCTTGTAAAAGATTTAGACCAGTCAAAAGCATTAAACCACAACATGTACAAAACTTATCTTTTGTTTTAAATTTTATCCTCCAAACAAATTTAGATTTTAATTCCCAAAAGATTCATCTAGTTTGAACCAAATCATAACTAAATGCAAACATGAAGCAACACTTTATTTGAAAAGGTTCTTTTTATTTCTGAAGTGCCTAACCAGAGGTCAATTATTGTAAGTAGAATTTTAATGGATCCTCTCATACACTTTCCCTTTTTTTTAGAGATCCATTAGCTGTGTTGAGAGCATTGGAGTCAACTGTAAGACCTGTGAGTACCATTTTCCTTCTGTTTTTAATTATACTATAAAACTTGCTTTTCAGTGTGTACATTTAATCTTTACATTAACCATTTTTGTTCTTTATTTCATCAACTTTTTTAGTTTTGTTGCCCAAATGCGACTCTATGCTTGGGGAGTACTTATTAACAATTTTTCTTTTGCATTCTGCAATTATTCCAGAACATTATGTAATCAAGTTAATGTGGTAACTCCTTACAAAACTGTTTGTTGCCATGTACAGTGGTTTGAATCTTGGAAAACAAATGATGAAATATATAACCTTGAACATTAAACAATGTTTTAAATGCACCTCCTCTCAACTTTTGTAACAATCTGACTGAACTCTTCAGTAAATCATTTTCTTGATTCTCAGACACATTTCATGCCAAATCCTGAGTTTATTGAGGACAATAATTTGCTACCAAGAAATAAAATCATGAAGGTTTGTTCTTGATATTGTTATGGCATGATGATGGTTAAAACAATTTTATATTTTACTTTCTGGTGCAACTTAGTGAATGAAAAAACTGTACAGTTTTAAGTAGTAGTTAACCCTTTAACTCCCAGAATTGATCAACATGAAACTTCTCCCTGTAATATCCTTACATTATCTGGCAAACAGGTGATGAGAATATTCAAACTTCTTAGATAGAAGCTGCTATCTTAATTTAGCACCAAGTTCTCATAACTAATTTACAAGGAAATGAGTAGCAGCTAGAGAGGAGAATTAACACTCAGATCTTGGGAGTTAAAGGGTTAAAGTTAGGTACTGTTTCTTCATGACAATATTGTGTGTAGATCTACTTTTTCAATTTACAATGTCATAGTGTATCCAATCCTTATGAACCAATATTTTTTAAAAATTGAGAAAATTTGTATCATACACTAAAACATGTCCCTAAAGTACAGTAAGTATTTTTTGTTAGGTTAATGGTAAAAAAAGATTGAAAATAGAGTTTGTATGTCCTCCTCTCGCTGTCTCTATGTGAGAAAGAATTGGATGTAAAATATACAAAATGTATCTGTATGCTTAAAGGAAATAGTATGTTTTCCCCTTGTAGATGTAAGTGTCCTGGTCAAAGACAAAAAAAGATTAAAATGTCTTTGTGTGTGAAAATCGACTTTGAACCTGTATATTGTACAGGGCCCAATTGTTCAAAGGTCAATCAGCAGTAACCCAAGGTTAAATTTTAATACTGGTTTCTTTTTCCCTTTTTTCAAAAGCCCTTTCAGGATAATTTCCTCAATTCTTTTAAGAGTGTTTAATCATTAAATTGTCGGCAGAAAGAATTATATTGAATTTTCTTTTAAAGCTTCCAGATCTGAAATAAGATTACACACTAACCCTGGGTTATCTTAACTTAACTTTGAACAACCCAGGCCAGGTCTCATGGAGGGAAAGCCTATGGGACTCCTCTTATCAAAAAATTTTTTGATCAATACTTAATTGAGAAAAACTTAATAACAAGGAGATAAGGGTGCTTGTTTATATTTTGAGTACATGATTATTAGGTCAGTACTTGAATGAGCAAATCAGAAAGTTATTCTGGATGGAACTTATATATTCACTTCTTGGTTTATTCTTTGTCGTGTTGTGTTTTGATGTGCTTTTCTGTTTTGTTTTTGTTTTTTGTTTTTTCAAAGAGTAGTTAGGATTTTTATGATTTATAGTAACAATCCTATTGATAGTTTCTTCTTTCTTGTAGGATCAATGTTATTGGGCCAAGAGGTCAGGTGTAGAAGCTGCTAAGTTTGTGATCTCAAATTGTCCAGGGATTTTTCCTCTTTGGAATGCAAACCCTGTAAGTTGACCTTTTCTGCAAAATCACACCTTGATCTAATTCTCTTTAATGGCCAGTTACAGTAAAGATGTATAAATGTTGTAAATGGCTTTCTTTCTCACTCCAGGCTTGGAAAGTAGAAGGTGCACAAGCTATTGATGTTGATGATGTTCAAACTGAGGATCAACTGAAAGGTTTGTCAGAAGTTGTGTTTAATTTAACAAGTGTACTGGAACATTGATTGAAATAATCACCAAATGAATATAAAAGGTGTTATCATGATTAAGAAGTTGAAACCTCCTGTTCCCTTAATCAAATCAGTACAATGCAGTTTAACCAAGAGAGGAAAACCACCAGTTAATTTGACACTCACAGTAAATGTTAATGTGCTTCCTTCTCTCAACAGCTCTCAAGCTGCAAGCACTTTGAAGTTTAATATTTCTATTTATTGGGTTCTTTTCTCTTGAAACTTCAGTAGCATCTGGAGTTAGAAGTTTCTCTACTTGAATTTATAGACTAGAAGTGGAATCATATCGATCTCTGACTAATTCTGTTTCATCAGTATTAATTAAGGGGAAGAGTGCCAGGAATGCTGCCCAAGCCTTTGAAAAATTCAAGGAACAAGGTGAAAATTTTTTGTTTTTGCTGTACCATGTTCCTCTAATTATAAATGAGTAGGCCTTGTGCATGTTTATGTTGACCCAATTTCACCCCTCAAGCCTTGCATTTAAGGTGTGGACTGGCATATTTTAATTGTAAAGTATTTCCAAAACACTAAAGTCAAATGAATACCCACATAAAAAGAGGCAAAGATTCATGAAAGTTTGGTGCAAACAGGACTTGGCAGTGAATTTCAGTAAATGACATCATCATGCATTAGAGCCATTCAAAGAAATTTTGTTGAGTT